ACAGAGGATCAAATCAGATTTGTAAGATAGAAGCAAAAAACACCCAATCAGAACAGCAAAAAGAAAAAAGAAATTTTTTTAAAGGATAGTATAGGGAGCCTCTAGGACAACTTCAAGTGTACCAACTTTCTCATTATAAGGGTGCCAGAAGGAGAAAAGAGAGAGCAAGGAATTAAAAACCTAAGTGAAAAAAATGACATAAAACCTTCCTAATCTGGTGAAGGAAATAGACACACAAGTCCAAGAGTGCAGAGAGTTCCAAACAAGATGAACCCAAACAGGCCCACACGGAGACATATCATAATGAAAATGTCAAAAATTTAAAGACAATGAGAGAATCTTTCAAGCAGCAAGAGAAAAACAGTTACCTACATGGGGGCTCCTATAAGACTGTCAGCTATTTTTTTCAACAGAAACTTTACAGGCCAGAGGGTTTGGCAAGAAATATTCAAAGTGATATAAAGCAAAGACCTACAACCAAGATTACTCTACCCAGCAAAGCTATCATTTAGAATTGAAAGACAGATAAAGGCTTTCTCAGACAAGAAGAAGCTAAAAGAGTCAATCACCACCAAAACAGTGTTAGAAGAAATGTTAAAGGGTCTTATTTAAAATGGGAGGGAGTTTGGGGGAATGGGTGAAAAAGGTGAAAGGATTAAGAAGTACAAATTGATAGTTACATAATAATAATATTGTCACAACTACGTATGGTTTCAGATGGGTACTAGATTTATTGGGATGATGATTTATTGACTTATATAATATCTAATCACTTGGTTGTAGACCTGAAACTAGTAAAATATTGTATGTTAACTGTAATTAAAAAATGCAAAAGCCCTGACCAGTATGTCTCAATGGGTTGTGTTGTCCTGAAAACTGAGATGTTGCTGGTTGGATTCCCTGTCAGGGCACATGCCAGGGTTGTGGGCCAGGTCTCCTGGCATGTGAGAGGCAGCAAATCAATGTTTCTCTCAGGCATCAATGTCTCTTTCCCTTTCTGTCTTCCTCCTTTCCTCCCTCTCTAAAAATATATAAATAATTTAAAGTAAAAACAAAGAACACAATTTCTTAAATGTAGAGACCTATAAAGGTGACTTCTGCTATGTTCATGCATGGCTTTTAGAATAATCCTCAAGATGGGCCCTGGTTGTCAGGAAGACCAATGAAGTGATTAGAGGGTTGGAACTCTCAGTCCCATCTGGATTTCCTGAAGTGGGAGAGGAACCAGAGGTTAAATCAATCACCAATAGCCAAAGTTTTAAATCAGTCATGCCTGTGTAATGAAGCTTCTATAAAAACCAACAGGACAGAGTTGAGAGAGCTTTCAGGCTCTGTCCTCCATGAGGACAGAAGCTCCTTCACTCAGTACATCACCCAATGTATCTCTTCACCTGGCTGTTGATTTGTACCCTTTAACATGTTGGGAACTGCCGTGACTGGTATCAGAGGCTGAAACCCCCGCCTAGCTAAGGCTAAGGGAACGCCCTTGGAACTGTGAGCCAGCAAGGAGACAAAAGCTTATCTTCCTGGCAGGAATGCTGCTTCTGCTGCTGAACCCCAAAAAGCTTGGTCGGTTAGCCAAAGACGGGTAAGATTCCCCACGGGGGGAACAACCCAAGCCAGGCATGATCACTTTGGGAGGCCCCCCAAAAGAAGGACTTGGGGGGCTGCAGCAAAAGGGGGTGATGGACCCTCACTCCTCGGCTTTGACAAAGTCTGAGTTCTCAGCGTCTGGAAGAAAATCTCCTTATCTCTCGGTGGCCTTAGTTCCCGCGCTCCACCTAAGCCTGAAACAATGACAGGGTAGTACAGCTCAGTACTGGGAAGTGCGGATTTCCCGGGGTGATCAGGCCTAAGAAAGGACATGTAAATTACTGTGAAACCTTCTTTGTTCAAGAATGCTCTCAGTTGAATGAGAAGGGTCTTAGGAGGAAGCTAGTTTGTTCCTAAGCCTTACAGCTCTTTGACCCCCAACTCAATAGACGGGCAGAGTTCTTTGTTTTCTATAGTTCCTTACTTCCCCTAATGAGTATTGTACTTTACCTGAGTTATTATGTAGCATGAGCCCAATAAAAGCAGGTATGGACTGTAAATCGGGGCGCTCCCCACTAGGGGGGGTGGCCATTCTGTCCCTACTTCCCCACAGAAACTAGTCTGTCTCTGTGCATGTGTCGTTTTTTCTCGCGTGTTTATCGTCGAGCCATCCACAGCGTTCCGTGGTCACTGCTGGCCGGTGACCCACGCGCAACATTAACATCCTTTGTAATCTGGTAATCAATTGAGGAAACAGGTTTCCTGAGTCCTGTGAGATGCTTTAGCAAATTAATCAAAACAAAGGAGGTGGTTGTGAGAACTTCTGATGTATAACCTGTCAGCCAGAAGCACTGGCATCAACTTGCAACTGGCATCAGAAGGTGAAGAGCAGTCTTATGGGACTCAGCCGTTAGCATGTGGAATTTGGTATCTCTGAGAAAATGTCAGAATTGACTTAAACTCTTGGACACCTTACTGATGTTGAATTTCTTGTTGGTGTGGGGAAGTACACCCTGAACCCTGACCAACCCCACTGGAATTGGCCCTACAACTATAGGAAATAGGGGTTTCTTTTAGGGCAGTCATAGAAGCTTTTGAATTCCTTAGTTGGATTCTGAACTGATCATTTAAAGTGATGAACTCATCATTTTCTTTGCCCAAGTTCCTCAGCACACTTGCAATCAATCAACCAACTGCATTCTGCATTACACTCCTTAATATCCACTAAAATGTTCTACGCAGCAAGTACTTGGTCCTACAAAGCCTTACCTTCCATAGGCACTTGACTACAGGTATCTATAAGGGATTATTTAAGTAACTTAAGCTATTGCATATCATGGATATCCAATAACCCCTTTAATCCCTTTAACCCCTTTAAAAACCTTGGTGACAGTCCCCTACTATCCTTACATCATCTGTATAGATCTGTACAGGTTTCCTTTTTAATTCCTGATATGGATGATTTGTGTTTTCTGTTTTTCTTGGTCAGCCTAGCTGAGAGAATATCAATTTTATTGATTTTCCATTAGAAACAAGGTCATATATTAGAAAATATATTAGAAACAAGGTCATTAATGACTTTAAGTGTAATCAAATCAGTGAACCAATAGCAGATAACACAGGCTCAATTCAGGGAATTTTCTTAAGGTTCTGCTCTCTGGAATCACATTTGGTACCAAAGTTGTTATTAGTGTTCAGTCAGAGATACAAGGATTTGACCACAAACCACTGTGAAAGGAGGTTACACAATCAATGTGAAATGTTTCTGTGTCTGGTGACAGAATCTGAAGTCTGCAGGACAGCAAGTCAGGAAGAAGCAATCAGTGTGACATGGATATGAGGGGTTGGCATGGGAGGCTGACTGAGCTGGAACTCAGGATGGCAGATGGGCACACCTGGCATTCTCTCACAAGTGTGAGATGAAGGGCAGCAGAGGCTGGAGCCCTTCATCATGGGGTGAATCCCGTATCAGGTCCAGAATCTGGAGAAGCTGAAGTGTATCAGAAAGAGACTGTGGCTTGTGTGTGCCAGATGCTGCCCTAGGTCAGCCAGGTGAGCAGTCAGCTAAGTGACAACAGGAGTGAATGGCAACAGCTTCACAGGCTGCTCCATCCCCGCACACTGCCCAACCCCAGCACGGAAAGTAAGATGACTGCTCTTCTACTTCCACCTGAATCTCACACAACATGGCTTGTGCAGCCATGCTAACCTAGCACTACACAAGGAAGTTATCCTGGGAAACAGTTCAGGCCGGTCAAAGAAAGAATCTCATTGAATACAGAAAAAAACATGACCTGAATAATAATTAAAATACAACATATAAAAATTTATGGAATACAGCAACAATAGGCCTTAGAAGGAATTTTGTGGCATTAAATGTTTATATTCAGAAAGGAAAATAATTGAATCAATAATCTGTGCTTCTACATTAAGGAGTTGGGGGGCTGAGGAAAGAAAGCAATTTAAACCCAAAATAGATAGAAGGAAATAAAAGAGGCAGAAATTAGTGAAATTGAAGAGAAATATACAGAAAAATAAGAAAGCCAAAAAGTAGTTCCTAAAAAAAATCAATAAAATTGATATTCTCTCAGCTAGGCTGACCAAGAAAAACAGAAAACACAAATCATCCATATCAGGAATTAAAAAGGAAACCTGTACAGATCTATACAGATGATGTAAGGATAGTAGGGGACTGTCACCAAGGTTTTTATGGCAACAAATTTGACAACTTAAGTGAGATGAACAAACTTCTTGAAAATACTGTATCAAAACTCACAAAGGAAATAAAAATATGAAAAGCCTTATGTATATTAAAAATCTTAATTCATTATAAAAAATCTCACCCCCAAAACTCTGACTTACTTTGGGATAGGCAAAGATTTCTCAAATGGGACATTAAATGCAATAATTATGAAAGACAAAAAGTGATAAAGTGGTCTTAATCAAAATTAAATAATTTTTTAATTAAATGTTTAAAAATAAAAAACAAAATTAAGGGATTGAAAAGGCAAGCTACAGATTAAATATTTGTAATGCATATATTTTACAAAGTATTATTGCTAATATATAAAGAATTTTTATAAATATACAAAGAAAAATAAGACAATTTAAGAAATGTTGAAGAGACTTAACAGATACTTCACAGAAGAAATAACATAAAACAGCCAAGAATCAGGAGCAAAGGTTTTTAACATTAGTCATAGAAAAATACAATTTAAGCCATAATGAGACACTACTTCACACTCACTTGAATGACTAAAAATAAAGACTGAGGATACTAAATGTTAGTGAAAATGTGGTGGAAATGGAAATTCTCATCATATTAGCAGCTGGAGTTAAAAATGGTACAACTATTTTGGGAAAGTTTGACAGTTTCTTATACAATTAAACATGTATCTACCCAGCACCTAGCAATTCTAATAGGTATTTACCAAAGAGAAATGGAAACATATATCCAAAGACTTGTACACTTTTGTAGTAGCTTTATTCATAACCTCACACTAGAAATAACTTAAATATCCATCAACAAATACTCAGATAAGCAAATTGTGATATACAATGGACTATTATTCAGCAATCAAGAACTATAGATATACACATCAGAAATGCATTTCAAAATACGGTAAACTAAAAAATCAAACACAATAGTACATATCATCTATTGCAAGTCATATGAAATGCTAGAATAGACAAAATTAATCTCCAGTGACAAAAAGTAGATCAGTGGTTACCTAGGGCTGGGGAGATTACAAAGGGAGATAAACTTTTTCTGGGGAAGGAAATCTTTGTAGCTTGATTGAGGTAGTGGTTACATATACACATGTCAAAATTCATTGATGTGGACAGTTAAAATGGGTAATTTTATTGTATGTAAATTATGTCCTCATTAAGCTGGTTAAAAGAAAAAACGTCCTACTGAAGAGGAAGACAAAAGCCACTACAAGTGCAGGCAATGGAGTGCACCCTGACTTTCTGGGTTCCTATTTCTTGTTTGGTAGCACATGTCAGGGGGCCAAGTTTTCATCTGAGTAAAGGGTACAGTTAACAAAATTATAATCTTAGAATACAGGGAAGAATACAAAATGACATGGGAAGTAAATAAAAGGCTGTTGTATGAATACTTTGATGTTGAATGACTAACTTTTGATATCATTATTCTATTTTGTGTTTAAGTATATTAAGTATGCATTGTCAAGGAGGCTAGCAAAAATCAAGTATACAAGTCTGCCTTAGTGGGGGATGACTCAAAGACATTAAATCTCTTATCAAATGTTTAAGAAAATATGATTAATCAAGTATATAAGTGATGTTAAATGTTAGGAGTATATGATCAACTGTATCATTAATGAAAAATTTCTCATTTTAATACAAATTTTACTTATATCTTAATAAGATCTCTAAATTGAGCTCAGAGGTGACAAAAGCTTTAAATGTATTTTAATAAAAGAAATATTAATTAAAACAATTATAAGTGTTTTTCTTTCCATGCCAAAATACTGCTTTGACAGGAAGGCTCGCTGACAATATAGTACACACAATACTTCCATCTTGCCTTTCTTAATAAATTTTTTACTTTTCAGGGAAGTTTCTTCCTCTTTACCTCAAAATCTTGTAGACTGATCTTATGGTTTATAGCAATATTTACAATAAAATTATTTAGAAGCAAGTAATTTAGGTATCTTAAACTATTACAAAATTTACAGTAAATTAATATAGCAATTTTATATAGTTAGCAAAATCATATAGTTTTACTTATATGATTTTCTTCTGCATTCCCTATCTCTAGTGAACCTAATGATTTTTACTTTTTTATTTTTGGCTGAATAATTTATTTTCTTAGAATTCTGGCAACTGAGGCTGAAGTCCAAGATCAAGGTGCCAGCTTGGTGAGTTTCTGGTGTTTGCTTTTTTTTTTTTTTTTTTTTGGCTTCTCTAGAGGCACTTCTCACTATGACCTCTTAAGATCAGGAACAATAAAAGGACGTCCACTCTTGCTACTTCTATTTAAGATTGCACTGGAGGTTCTTTTCCGGCTTCTAGAGGCTGCCCACATTCTTTGGCAACTGGTACTCTTCCTCCAAGTAACTTCGCATAAACTTCCATAGTTGTGTCTCCTATTTTTTACCCAATTTTAAGGTGAAAGAATCTAGGCTTTTTTTTCCTCCCTGGAATTATACCCTAGGTATAATAACAATGATCATTAAACCTAGAAAGAGACATGAAGCACAAGTTACATGAACAAGAGCCTCCATTCACATTTGTTTCTAGTTTAATTGTATTAGGTGGTATTTTCATCAGCTTACGGATGGAGAAACCAAGGTCATGCAATCTGCCAAGGGCACAGTCAGGATTCAAAACTATATAATTCCAAAGCTCTTCACTTTTCCAGTTCCCTAGATGAATTACAGTACAGCCGAAGTTGTAGCTTATCCTGCTAGGTTTGTAATTTCTTGTATAATTACAAGGATTTTTGTATCCAGAGCACTGTTTTAAAAAATAACTTCACACAGATTCAACCACCTCTTTAATCAGTACCCATATTATGGATTCATATATGGTCTGAATCCATAGTGCTTGATGGGTTTTATTTCCAGAGGAAGGTATAACTTTGAGTAAAGGAAAGAGTCTATTATTGACCTAGGGACTATCTTTGATTTCCCTTTAGCTCTCTTTGTGACCACCCTACCAAGGCACACAGCAAATGTCAGCTAATGAATAAATGAGAAACAAATTGTTGGCTAAAAACAGTGTTTAAGAGTCTGGAATTACATATTTGCACCCAGTTCAGTGTTTGACACCTAGTAGGTGCTCATTAAATATTTATTGAAGAGAATGGCATTTCTACCACTTCATTAATTCATTCAGCAAAGTGTTTATTGAACCTCAACCATGTTTTGGGCATTCTGTAAGGACACATGGCTTAATACAACCATGATTCACACATGATCTCTACTTTTAAGGAATTTGGGGGTCTAGAATAAATGGTATACATAACAATGCTAGATGATGGACAGCAGTCAATACTGACATAGACTGCTTATCAAGTGTTTTGAATTTGAAGTTAGGAAAATAAGGAAAGGGAGTTTTTTCCCCTCTAGTTGGTTTGTTTCTTTGGACATCGTGTTTGTCATGCTCTCCTTGGCAACTGATTTTTCTTCCATGAGTTAATCCCAAATATAATTGCTCTCATTTGTGTCCCTACTTTTCATCTTCCTCCCAGACATCATCTCTACATAAATAATCAGCCTGCCCTATAAACCTCATGTGTTGAACACTGGTTATGATTCTCTCCCACATCTGTTGCTAACTTTCTGAAGCTGGAAGAAATGACACCAGGTGATGAGAAGTAGGTAATCACAACATCCTGACACAGGGAGACAGGGAGAGAGACAGACACAGGGGAAGCTAAGGATTCAGGAAAGGTTTCTGGGTTCTGTACCACCTCCATGTTCCAATTTTTAACTAAGAGTGGAAAATGTAATCTTGGTTTTCCCTTCCTATCCTATAAGTATAAAAGGTTTCAAAGTCAAGGGAAAATGTCTTTCACTTGATATTCCTGTGGAAGGGACATTAGATACTCAGTTCAATGAATGTTCCCTGAATTCCTTTAATGGAGAACAGAAGACTGCAATGGTAGTGCACAAGAACAAAACAGAACAATCCCACATTCTAACTGTTTAACTAGTACTACTCAATAAGACCAGGTTTAAGAAAAATGGTGGGAGGGCCAAGACTACTTTGATTACCTTTGAGGAAGCTTCCTTCTCTCCATAAATTATGCCCTTTCTTTTCTACTAGCTACACAGTAGTAACAATCTAGAGGAAGCTTTAACATTCATAATTGGAGTTATGGAATTAACACAAAGGCAGCTAGGACAAGGAAAACTTGAGATAATTTTGAGTGTATTTATCTCTTCAATACCTTCATTGGAACCCTCAAAAAAGGGAAATAAATTGTAAGATTATGACAGACTGGCTAACTGTTTAAGAAACTGGTTACTCAGTCTCCCAGCTATACAATTAGACATGTTTCCAAATTCTCTGAATCTCTTTCAGTTAGATGGGCCACATAACTGAGTTTTGTCCAAAGGAACATATGCATGATTACCACGCTTGACCCAAACATTTTCCACATATGCTTTTCCTTCTTTTGTGTGCTCCTTCAACTGACTGGGAAAAGGCAGTTTCCCAAGATGGAAGGAGCCTGGGACTCAGACTGACTGTGGAAGGCTGCCCGGTGACCAGCAACATCCACATTGAAATGTACAAGAGAGAAATAACCTTGGGAAAGTTACATAACTGGAACCCAGTTTCCTCACGTCAAGTACTTACCACAGAGCCTGATCAAGAATAAAAGCTCAATGAATATTAGCTTCCATTATTATGAAGAAACAAAATTTGCTTCTTAATTTCCCTTTTTCTTGGGCAAAGTGGAGTACTAGGGGTTGGGGATGGTGACTGAAAAGTACTCGGATGCATTTACCAGTTAAAAATACTAATTACTACCTTGTGTATTTAAGTAAGACAAATACTGTAACAACAACCAAAAGGGAAAAATAATTTCATCTGGATCCCAAATATTAAGTTTTATGACTAGTCTCATAAAACTCAGTGCTAAAACACTAGTAAAAATGTGAAAAAAATGTGATTCTCTCTCCCCTTGACACTGAGCATTTGTGGACATTCTAAAACAGTTTTGACAACCCACATCGTTTCTGTGGTTTATTTATTTAAAGATTTTATATATTTTTATTTAGAGAGTGGGGGAGGGAGAAAGAGGGAGAGAAACATCCATGAAAAAGAAAAACATTAATTGGTTGCCTCTCACAAACACCCTGACCAGGGACTTAACCCACAACTCAGGTGTGTGCCATGACTGGGAATCTAACCAGCAGCCTTTTGCTTTATAGGATGATGTCCAACCAACTGAGCCACACTGGTCAGGGCTGCGGTTTCATATTAAAGTGAGCAGAGAAGAGGGAGAATATTTCAAAACTAATCTTCAGAGACAGGCCTAAACATTCCTGATAATAGAAAATTATAAGTTTGTAACATTGAAAAATGAAAAGTGCAGTGCATTCAGCCAAAATGAATAGTTGCAATGGATATTTTATTTTGTAAAATTAATTCAGTGCAATGCATGCCATTCATATTTCAAAACTGAACTGATTTTATCTTGTGATCTTTGACATATATGGTTTCAGGGTTGTGTGAGAAATTAGAAAATTCTGATTGAACATCTTGTTACTTCCCTGTGAATCATATGAAAAATGTCATTTTTTATCAGTAATGGTTATCATCTTAAATATTGAATAGCTTCCATGGTAAGATTTTCATATAAAGTATACATTTCATTTTCCCCAAAATACATAGAACAAAGTGCAGTGCATCAACTTAATTTAAAAAATCAATAGTGTCAAATATATTATTTGAGCATCAAATTTCCTTTATAACTACAGTAATATTTAGTCACTGTTGTTAATCTGTGCCCAATTTATAAATTAAACTTTATCATAGCTATGCATGTACAGAAAAAAATACTGTGTGTGTATGTTGTGTGTGTATATATGTTGTATATATATGGTTTGGAAGTATATATCTGCAGTTTTATGCACTTACTGCAGGTCTTGGAACAAATCTCCCACAAATAAGAGGGGGGCTACTTCATATTCAGATTCACATATTTTTATACTTATTAAATAATTGTTTTCAACAATAACCATCAACATCTTTAAATAACCCCAGATCAGAATTAAATTATGATAGTGTCAAGATTTTAGAATCTTTTAAAATCCTAAATTTATTCATCAGTAAAATGTAATGTTTAACAATGTCCCCAGAGAATAAGCTTCCTATGTGTAGGAAGTGATAATCTAATCACACTGCTATTAATTACGGCATTTACAAAGCCGCTAATATGTTATATTAGTATATTTCTTCACACTGATGTATCCACTTGAAGAAATCAGAGCAAAACCAAAGACATAACCATTCCTGAAACAAGGAACCATCTTTACACTATTATTTCTTTGTTATGGTGCTTAGTCTTGGTATTATGAAGCACAATGAATTTTTCTTAATGAATATAGTAGATTAAGGCAAAAGGACATAACCTAGTCCCCTCAATAATTTATTTTCTATCTTAAAAAATGGTTGTGGAGGCTATACAAATTACAGAGATGCTGGATGGAAAGACACAAGTTGTCCCTTAGACCAACATCTAGTATTTTAAGAACGAGGTTAAAATCATCGTGTTCACAGCATCTACCCCTCACCTGTCATTATGATCATTCTTCAGCAGTTCCTGCAATGCTGATTTTCAAATGACACCATTTTCCTGCTATGTCTCTTGGCTGTGTATAAATTATTTTTCTTATTAAAAATACTTAATAATTCAGCAATAATCTACTCAGTCTTTGACAACTCTTCAGTGGATAATTTTTCATATTTGCAACCATTTCCTGTATGGCTGCTGTACTTTTCTTCCGTCATCTTCTTCACATAACTAAGTGGTCCTTTCCCTTCAAAGGAGGAAGGGTTTTTGAATGAGCCTCCAATTCTATCCCACAGTGTGAAATACTGTCCATAGTTATAGTCAAAGAACATGTGGTGGTCTGTATGATGAGCTGAGCCATTAATAAAGGGCTTTAAGATTTGGGGGACACGAAAATCACCATCATGAATGGAAATTGTCCAAATGTTGACCAAGACGTATAAACCTAAGTAAACCGCCTTGTGTAATGGAAAGAGAAAAGGGTATATGTGGTAAGGTAGACTCTGCAGGAAGCCATCCACAGGGTGAAAAGCGTGACTTGCAAATGGAGTAGGAATCTTCCAGATATGGTGAGGTTTATGTATGCGCTACAGAAGGAAAGAACACCATTAGCACACACTGCACATCAACTTAGCTTTTCACACTCAAGTTTTGGAAATGACTTAACTAAAAAAATCCCTTTGAAATGACTAAATCACTTTATAAAATGCCCTCCCTTACTCCCAAACAGTAAAATGTTAGCATAAACCCTTTGAACTCATAAAAAATATAAACAAAACATACCCACTATTTGTCATGACTATGGTGGTATTCAATACAGAGAAAACTCTTAGAAATAGAGAATAGAATTTACAACCACAAGCTGCTGAAATGTGTCATCTTTCCCCCTAAAAATGGCTCTACCTTATAGACAAGTCTATGATGCAGGCCTCTGTGAATCCAGTAGATGAGCATGTCAGTGAAAAAGAGGAAGGACAGGACACTAACAATGAGGTGAAACCAGCCTGGAGGAGAGAACAGTACATAGCAGAATTAAGACTCAGCCTCCAGGATTAGCATTTACTTTGTACATGTCTAAACACAAAATATGACCCTAGACTCAAAACCATACCCTCTCTGTTTTGGCTAATTAAATACATTACAAATTAATCTCCCCTGACTCTGGAATCTGCTTCTTTACTCATTTCCCTCATACAAAAACTAGGAAGACTCCCACCTAAAATATTTCTTAACCTATTAAGATATTAAGGAAACAGAAAAAAAATATTCCTGAAGCATCTTTATTACTCAATCTCTGAGAATAACTCTAATAACTTTCCTTCATAAACATATCTTTATACATTAAGTCCTTGCTTAGAATTTTATTTTCCACTGAACACCTTAAACTGAGCATTAACTCAGTGACCTGACGCTTTCTGATCTTGTCAACCTAATCTGTTCCTGCACTACCCAGGCTGGTTCACTTGATGTCCTCCCAGCATCCTGAAATATCTTACCTCTGTACCTTTACTTACACTATTCCATCTATTTAGAATGCCCTTCCTCCTTTTATGTTTACTCATTATCCCATTACATTTCAGAGTCTAGTCAATCCATCACCTTAGTGAGTGATGAATTAAACGAGTGATTTTTGTTCCCTCCTTTAACTAATCTCTTACTTACAAAGCAGAGGTGCTGATGCAGATCTGCCACTTATTTGTTGAGAAACCTGGGCAAGTTACTAAAATTCTCTGTTAATTTAATTTACTAACCCATATAAAAAGGAGCATAATAGTACCTATCTCACAGAACTGATGTACAATAAAATGAATTGATATATGTGAAAAACTTAAAACTATAGCTGGTACTCATTAATACTCACAAATGTTAACTATTATTCTTACTTTCTAATACTAGATACCAGAAATGTATCTTGATGGAATCATTTCAGAATTTCACAAAAAGTTTAGTTGCTTTAGGGCTGTTTATAATAGACAAAAAAGGAACAATCTAAAGTTCTAAAAATTAGATACTTTACTAACATACTACATAATGCCAATATTTATAGGCATGAAAATATGGGCATATATATTGCTAAGAGAAAATAATCAGAGTTCAAACCAGTATGCATAGTAAAGTTTCATTTTGGTAATGTAAATAATGAAGCATACAAGGCGTAGAGAAGTGAGAGGACAGACATCAAAAGATTTACAGTGTCTAGGTAGAAAAATAATTGATATTAAAATCTATATCTTCTGATTTTCCATTACTGTTATGTACTACTTGAGTTACTTTTTTTTCAGAAGTTTGAATTCAATACAGGTAACAGGAAACAAATGCAAAGGCTTATATCTGATCTCACTGATCTTCCACAGATACAATTTCATCTAAAATAGACTTTAAAACTGATAAACTTAAATAAATGCATATATGTGGCAGGATATAAGTGCATACAAGAAAAAATTGAAGAATATTAAAAAAACTGATTTGGTTCTTTAGGAAAACCAGCCTGTGACTGACATTCTGCTTACTTACCATGTGGAAAGCCTCCTATGTCATCATATAATTTGCTGTAACCTCTCAATTCTAGCAGGAACAAGGAAACAGTGGGAATACTCATCCATGGTAAAGCCTGCACAGTATACATAATCTCTCGATACACTTGATTCTGAAAATGAAATTTCCAAGACTTAAAAATCACAAACTGTCTATTAAACAAAACTAGCATAAAGTTTTTTGGAGGTGGATTTTTAGAATCCCTTTTATATTAATGAGCTTACTTCCAAAATGTTTCTATTAAAATGTTATTATGTGGGAATGGGTATGTAAGAAAAAAAGAAAAAAATTCCTTTGTACTGAACAAAAACAATACATATTTTAAATTCTCAAACTCATTCTCCTTCCAACAAAATCTGTAGTCTAAATTTCTATTTACTGAATAACCACTTCTTTCATAATTAATCTTCCATCCTTCACCCTTTTTCTTCCAGTCCTTGGAGACCTGTATTTGAGATTTGTATTTGACAAGCAGAAGTAACTGAAATAGAAAAATGACTGTAAACAACCTAAAACTACTGAGTTTTGATCCTCTAGCTAGTCAAAGAAAAGTATATATAGTAAAAATATAGTTCAGTTTGGGTCATACATTAAAATAACTACATAAATGTATGCATTTATTTATTCATCGCTATTAGCAAAGAAATTCTTATTTATGTAACGAGCAACATACCAGGCTTTTAGTGGTGAGGGGGGAATGGATTCATCTATTTGTTTAAACTAAGGAAAAAGTAGGATTAGCTCGAAAAATATAGAACCCATTTGGGGCTCGTTTCAAAAACTTTATTTAATGTTTATAATCAATTTAATCTGAATAGCTCACAAATTCATTATATTGTTATTTTTACTGTAACAGTAATTAAAAATAAATAAGAAAATCACTTACCTTTAAAAATTGTGGATGTTTCATTAATGAATGATCAAAGACAAAATAATAGCTCAGTGTTGCAAAGAAGAAATAAAGGATATAAGCACCAAGATTTGTTATAATCAGGAGACTAATAGTTTGTCGAAAGAAGTTGTTCTCTGGCCAGGTGTCTGGATAGACGTATGGTGTAAAAACATAATAATCTGCAGCACTGAGTACAAGATCCATCTTAGCCCCTAAAGGATAAACATGTGCAACAATTATTTACTCACACTGACATTTCTCAAAGCAAAAATTTCTCAGAAAACTATATGTGAAGTTCCAGCTTTAAGAAGCATGTATAGTAGTAGTCTGCTCCTATTAGAACTCCCGAGGTGCCATCTTTACAGCTAGAAGAGATCTTAAATATTATCTGTAGTCCAATGTCTTTGAATTATACATGGGGGCACCAAAGCTCAGCTAGAGCAACTGAGACCTAGAAAGACTTTCTCTAAGGTTTAGCTGATCCATGGCCTCTAGATGGAATTCTATCTTGGTGTACCTTTCTACTACATCCTAGGGCAACATGGACCATAATAAAGAGGTGGGATGCAGAGCACTAGGTACGCAGGCAAATGGTTTGCTCTTTTAGCTGCAAGTTTCAGTAGCCTCTCTCTTCTCAAAAAAATATTAAAAAAAACCCAACTTGTATTTTAGAGTTTCTGCTTTAGTGCTGAAACTTAAGATGAATTTCCTAAAAGGTAACTATGTTGTCTCCACAAACATAGATGTCAGGGATGATCTTATAACAGAAAAAAGGGCCACTCTCATTGACAGAGAAAGGGAAACATATTCATGGTAAGAATTAGAATACATTTACTCCTCTGCCCACTAAGCAATGCTCCAGGTCAGGGGCTAGGAAATGGGGGTCCATGGCCAAAAGAGAGAGAGGAGAGAGAAAACAAAACAAAAAAACTTCATTGGAACACAGCTATGTCCTGATGTTTATATATTATGTATGGCTGTTTCTCCAGACCAGATTTAGCAACTGAGGCAGTTTGGCCCACAATGCCTAAGATATTTATTATTAGGCCCTTTAAAAGCAAAGTTTTTCAACTCCTGGCCAAGATATTTAAACTTTCAAAAAACTTGAGTTAATTCAGTAAATAAGTCTATTCTATTTTCATAAATCTGTTACTCAATACAGCAACATTATGGTCAGCTTTTGTAAACTGACCACTGAATCTAGAATATTTTTATCTACTCCCTAATTTTCTTTTATTTTTTAAAACAACTTTAAGATTTTATTTATTTCTTTTTAGACAGAGGGAAGGGGAGGGAGAAAGCGGGAGAGAAACATCCATGTGAGAAGGGAAACATCCACTGCAACTGGGGACTGGCCCACAACCCAGGCATATGCCCTGACCAGGAATTGAACCATCAACCTCTTGCTTTGTAGGATGATGCCAACCAACTGAGCCAGTCAGGGCTACTCCCTTATTCTTTTTTGCACAGTTTATAGAGGAACATGTATTCAATATTCTAAAAACCCTCTTATTTATGATTGAAACATTTGAACAACAACAAAAAACCAATCTGGAAAATGTCTACACATACTGATTTCAAATATTTAAATTATCCGTTACATATTTGGCCATATAAACAAACATCAATTTATGAAATAAAATTGAAAGACTAAAAAATTAATTACTTATGTATAGCCTATTTCCCCTACTAGATTCCCCACTAAACCCCCAAATGAATTTAAAAAGTCTTTTAAAAAATCATACATACATGTAGTTTAAAATAATTGATATAAAAAGATATAGAGAAAAGGTTCACTTCCATACATATCTCTGTACACCACAATCAACATCTCACTTCCAGCCTTTTAGGTAAGCACTTCTATTAGTTTTCTATGAATCCTTACAATATTTAAAAATGTTGGCCCAAACCACAAATTTTACTTCCCTTCTTCATTACAAAAAGTGACATGTTATACACACTGTCACATTCTTTTCTCTTAACAATGTATTCTGAAGACTTCTCCATCATTATTAAAAAATACCCTCCTCTTCAGAACACCTTCATCACCCCCATAAGAAGCTTCATATTCCATACTGTCAACTTTCTTGGATGTGTAGATTAACGTTTGTCACACATTTAAGGAGTTTTGGGCCACTATTTCTTAAAATAACCTTTTTTATTATTTTTCTCCCTCTTCTTTTTTGGGAATCCCATTATGCTTAGGTTGGTATTCTTGATGGCATCCTTCAAGTCTCTGAGGCCCTGTTAATTTTTCTTTTTTTTTTAATATATTTTATTGATTATGCTATTACAGTTGTCCCATTTCCCCCTTCACTCCCCTCCACCCTGTACCCCCTCTCCCACCCACGTTCCCCCCTTTAGTTCATGTCCATGTGTCATACTTGTGAGTTCTTTAGCTTCTACATTTCCCGTACTATTCTTGCCCTCCCCCTATCTATTTTCAACCTACATTCTATGCTACTTATTCTCTATACCTTTTCCCCCTCTCTCCTCCTCCCACCCCCCTACTGCCCTACCAGTCTGGATGTACGGGTCTACTTCAACTTCTTGGCTGTCCGACTTCCATTCAGATAAATCCTCTGACAGCTCTGAGAGATATTATATCTGTAAATTATTGTTGTTCTATTCTTGGTTGTGCAAGGAGGTACGGTGCGTCCACCTATTCCTCCATCTTGCCAGAAGTCCAATTTTTCTTCACTCTTACTTTCTGTTCCTCAGAATTGGATAAATTTCAATTGACCTATCTTCTAGTTCTTTGATTCTTTGTTCTTTCTTTCAAATCTGATATTGAGTCTGATAGTTCACTTTAAACTTCAGTTACATTTTCAACCCTTGAATTTTTATTGGTTCTTAAAAAATATATATTCTCTCACTTTACCGATTGTCTCTATTTGGTAGGAAATTGTTCTTATACCTTCTTTGAATTATTTAGATGGTGTTCTTTAAACATATTTGGAGTAGCCATTTTAAAGTCTTTGTCCAATAAATCTGAGTTTCCTTAAAGATAGTTTCGACTGACTGCTTTTCTCTTTATGCCTGTGTAAGCCATACTTACCTGTTCCTTTGTGTCCCATAATTTTTTTGTAGAGAAGAGAACATGTTAAATAACAATGTGGCAGCTCTGGAAATCAGATTTCCCATGGGTGTCCCTCAGGGTTTCACACTGCTGTTATTGTTTATTTAAGTGACTTTCCCAGACTAAAGGTATAACACCTGTATTCTTTGTTGTGTACTACTGTAACAGGGTGCAGCCAAGAGGGGGGCCGCAAATAGGGATTTGGAATGGGGTCCAGAACTCAAGGTGTCCAGGAAATAATAGAAAGATACATAGGATGTCCTCCCCCCTCCCCCCCACAGGTGTGAGTTGGGGGAAGGAACACATGGAGCAGGAACATGCAGAGCTCTTTTTTACAGCAACGGCTTTGCAGCTAACCTCTGGCATGGTCATTTAACATATCTATAACCTTTAACTGGTTACATAGATATGTTAAATAGCTGTGGCCATGCTTTGAGCCAGGGGGATGGAAGTGACTTCCACCCAAGATGTAACTGGGAGGCAGCTCCCCCTGGTTACAGCGCCTTCATGAGAGCTTGGAGATGATTGGCTCCATGACATGGGGCCACACCTGCCCAGACTTACCATGGCAGCCCAGTAAACCTGGAATGATACAGGAATGCTGGCAGGTGTAACTGATTATAGGAGGGGTCGGAAATGGGGGTACAGAGGAAGGTTGACTCGGGGATTTAAACTCAGACTCGGCAGCCATGAGGGGAGAACCACGTGGCTTTGGCAGAGTGGGTACCCCCTCGACTTTGGTGAGAAGTTTGGTATGTGTCACCACGTGGCTTTGGGGTGCTCCCTTTTGCCACATGGCTTAGGGAGCAGGAGAGACTTTGACTGAAAGAAAAGGGGTGAAAGAACTCTTGCTGGTGGGCCATGAGAAAGTCCCACATGGCTTTGGATTAACTGGAGATCTTGGCAGCGACACAGCTGATGGTGCCGGGAGCCCAAATCATGGACTTCTACTTCTTTTCCTGAGGTATGGTACCCCAGGTTAGGGCAGAGGGAGAAGGAAGGACTGTGTGTCTGTGGGTATCCTAAAGGACTTTAATATTTTACTGAAGACATTGGGTTACTACTTTAAGTCTATATAGCTTTAAATAAACATTTCCTTTCCTTTTCACAAATCTCTGGCATTGAGAAACGTCTTTCCTCTGGCAGCAGGCATAACGAACCTAGTGGGGGGCCCTTTCAGTAACAGTATATTGTACCCCCCTGGCCCTGTTCGGTAAAACTACTACTGAAGTCTCTCCTCACTAAGGACTGGACAAATTTCCTTCAATGCCTTAAACCAGGTGTGTCTAACCTGTGGCCCACGGGTTACATGCAGCTCAGAATGGCCATGAATGTGGCCCAACACAAAACTGTAAGTTTACTTAAAACATTCTGAGATTGTTTTTGTGATGATTATGTGTCACAATGTATTTAATGTGTGGCCCGGAGATGCCAAAAGGCTGGACACTACTGTACCAACAAGTCCCCCATCCTTTGCTGAAGAGCTGTGTACTGGGGCAATGCTCTGACTGCTCCTGCAGGCAGTGCAAAACTCTCACTTACCTTTCCCTTCTGCTTGCATAGACCAGCAAGTTCAGCCAGGAGTGAGAGATTAGGGCCTTGACTCCCATCTTTCTGGGGTACATGCACAACCCTTCTCGTGGAAATCATTACAGATTCCCAATAAACTTTCAGAGTGTTTAAAAGCCTCCTATGGACATTCCTCAGTGTTTTCTTTTAAGTTTTTTCACCAGGCTCTTGTAGTGCCAACTGTCAATACTGTGTCCTATGTCTGTGATGTTAAGCAATCACCACAGATGGTATTAACAAAAACCCTGGGGATAAAATTATTCACACAAAGCAAACTCTAAGCCAGATCAAATAAAGACAAACCTTGAGAAACAAGATTTTCAGAGAACTGCCAGAGAAATCAATAAGTGAAAATTTTCTGGGTTGGAGCTTTTTGGGGAACTACAAACCTGTCCTGCCCCTTCCAGGGTTGCCAGGAGGCTATGGTTCACAGCTCCTGCTGCTGCAAGGCTGTTAAGTTTCCAAGGCTACCACACAGTGGTGGAAGGGAGCATGGGAATAGGGAAAGTGAAAATGCCACCAAGCTTTCTGTTCTTACTGAGTTTCAGCCACTTTTCTAGAACA